TAATAATTTTTATAATTGAGTAAGATTACTACCTTCACTTCCTCGTAGAGTTTCGTCTCCCAAGCCCAGAGCAGGTTCAGAGTGGAGCAGAGGCTCTTTCGACCACCTAGTTCATTCCTAGCCGCCGTGTCCGGTCTGTACTTCATCGCCAACGGCAGCTTCGATGTCCAGCACGAGCTCAGATTACTCAAGACACTGCTCGAATACACAGTTTCTATAATCCCAAAGACAGAATCAGATTAATTGATAATTCATAAAGTTCAAACAATTTGAACTAATTTTGAATTCTAGAGGAATTCTGCTACAAAACCCTAATCTATCAACTTACTTTTCAATTGCCAGAAGCTCCAGTCAAACTCAGGTTTGCCAATCTCCAGCACCTCAGAGACCAGATCTCCGGTGGCAGCAGCCTTGTGGAAATTCTCTCTGATCTCATCCACAATCTCTTTCAAGTCCTTGTGCGATGGAGAGGAAGAGAAATGGGGAGAAGGAGGAGGAGGCAGGTGGGGGGACGACGAAGGGGACGGGGGGACAGTATGGACGTCAGACGAATGTGAGTTGGGGGCATGAAGTAGGGCGGCCGGGGTTCGGTCAGAGACGGAGAGGGGTTCGCCGGCGGCGAAGGAGGAAAGGGCAGAGCCCCTCTCCAGCATCTCGACCTGATCTCTGGCGGCAGCATCCTTGTCGAAATCCTCCTTGATCGCACCCACAGTCTCTTTCAAGTCCTTGTGCGACGGAGAGGGAGAGAACTGGGGAGGAGGAGGCGGGTCGAGGGACGGCAAAGGGGACGGAGGGACACGCTGGGGAACAGGATGGAAATCAGAAGGATGTGAGTTGGGAGGACGAAGTAGGACGGCTGGGGTTTCTTCAGGGACGGAGAGGGGTTCGCCAGCAGCGAAGGAGGAAAGGGCACAGCCCATGACCCAGAGGGAACAGCAATAATCGGCGTGTGCAGCCGCCAAGCGGTGACGTGCATGGACCGCTTCCTTCATCAGGCGACGCCGCTCCTTGTACCGCCCCACCGCGTCCTCGTTGTCCAGCTTCGACGCCGCACAACCCATTCCAAAAGTCAAAAACAAAAGGAAACCCTTAACTACTAATAGCAAAAGCAAAAAGAAAAAAATTTGAAGGCACAGAGGTGACGCGGTGGGGCCGGATTTTTTCAGCTGAAAAAGGAGTGATTGAGTATGTGTGTGTGTGTGTGTGCGTAAAAAGGGGAAATGGAAGGGATCCCGTAGGCGCAAGCTGTTGTAAAGGATGAGCAAGAGCAGGAGACATGGAAGATTTGAAGCAGATACGAGTAGGAAAAAGAAGGCATTTGAAGAACGTAAGAGTAGGAAAGAGAAGGCATACGAACGAGAAGGCATTTGAAGAAGATAAAAAGTAGGAAAGAGAAGACATTTGAAGAAGATAAGAGTAGGAAAGAGAAGGCACCGTTAGGAACGATGGAAGGGGAAAACTGGAAAAGAGAGAAGATCTGGACAGGCGAACTGCTCCGTTAAGTCAGGTGTACTGTTTATAAGTTTAAGGGCCTGTTTGGTATGGATTATTGGAGCTTCAGCTTTTGGACACTATTCATGTCTCATGTATTTAAATTTCCCTCTTAAAAACTTACACTTTTAAATATTTTTTTAACCTCAAAAAGCTCTTAAACAGTAAAAGCTCAAAAGTTTCAAATC